CCAGAGAAAAGAAAGTAGACATTGTTCATTTCAAAGGCTTGCTTCTTTCTCTTCAACACCCCCCACCCCAGTGAAAAAAGGGGGTGGGTGGGATTGTGGGTGGAGTGGCGCGGAGAAGGAAGAGGATCGTTCACAGAACATGGAGACAGCCAGGGGCTCTTTAATCCTCAGACTCTCGTTTACCCCAAGCCTTCTTTAGAAAACAGAGCAGCCACTAAAATACCTCATATTTTCATCTCTCTCTCCCTCCACTGCAGCACTTGTCTCGCCTATCTTGCCTAGAAGTAAGATGTCCCCATCGCCTCTGGGTCAGGCAGTGATCTCTCTCTCTCTCCAACGTAACAAACAGCCGGGTTAATTTTATCTCATTAGCATTTCCATAGCAGACTTCACACGCAGGATTCTCTCTCTCTCTCTCTCTCTCTCTCTCTCACACACACACACACACACACACACGGCCAACAGCCTTCTCCTTTCGCAGGTCTGGATTCTCTAGTAACCCCCAACAGGACCTTTGTTCGTCATTCTCCATCTCTTCCATCCCCATTTATACCTTTGCCTCATTCCAACTCTTCCTCTTTACCTCCTTCTAACCCTCTTCTAACCCTCCCAATCTCTCTCTTTCTGCATTTCAAATTCTACCAGTTATCTCTTCTTCTGTCTCCAGTAATTTCTCTCTCTCTTCTTCTTTTTTTTTTAAAAAAAGCACTGATTAATCTTTTCATGCTTTCCATTCACTGATGGTTTAAAACACACACACACACACACACACACACAAGCAGAAATGAGGGGGGAGGGGATTTGGTCAACACCAAAATGGCAAAGTTCAGCTTGTGGGGGGGAGACCCCTCCAGCTACCTACAAAGAGGCTGGGGGGGGCTTTGTAATAGCAGAAAGAAACAAAAGTGAAAAGAAAATTGCAGTTGAGTCTCAAGTGTGAGAGTGTGTTTGTGTGTATGTAGATGTGTGTGTGTGTTTTAAAGGCTCCTTTGAACTGCCTTTGTGCTGAGTAGGCAAAAAACCTCTTTGGCGATGCCAGTCACGGTTTAAGGAACTTTGAGTTAACCTCTTATATCAAATGAATCTTTTCATTTGGAAACCAATAAATCTCAATCTAAGGGGGCTACCTTTTGTAAAGCCAAGCCTGGGCTTTAGCGGAGGCAAAGGCTGGCAGCTTATAAAAAACAGAAGAGATAAAGTTTGCCTCTGTCCCTCCTACGACCCCCCCCCCCATATCACCCGGCCATACATATATATATATAACACCCACTTGTTGGTTTTTTTTTTTTTAAGTGGGAAGTTTGTTTGTTTGTTTGTTTGTTTGATGATGGTGATGATGATGTTTGTGGAGTTGCAACCAGTGGCACAAGGAATCCGGAAGACTTGGACCTTTACTCACAGTAAGCCGATTTACTTCACTATAGTCTTGAACCATCAGGGGTGATTTATGTGTCCGTAAGAAAAACAAGACATGTTTTGGACTGGAATTAGAGGGGTGGAGCTTGAAGGTGGCGGTGTGTGTGTGTGTGTGTGTGTGTGTGTGTCTGTGAAGAAAGGAATGAGAAAGATGGGTGTCTGGAGAATTAACCATGCAATCCTATGCATACCTACTCTCTGAGTAAGACTCATTGCGTTCAATGGGGCTCACTCCTCAGTTACGTGCGCGTAGGATTGCAGCCGAACTGTGCTAGCTTTGAGGAGAGAGCAATCAGCTTCTTATTATGAATTGAGTTTGGAGGACCAGTCGTTTTAAAAGAACATTTGAAAAGAAAAGGTGGAAAGATGCATTAGGAAAAGAATGGGTCCAGTTCTGCGAATTGATTGCCCCCTTTCCTGAAATTGTATACCCCTTGTAATGTGATTGTAAAAATGAGAGGAGACAATACAGACATACAGACGGATGGATAGATGCGTTTCTTCCTGTCTGTCTGTCTATTTGGTTTTAAACAAACTAGCGTGTATTTATATTTGCATGTGCATTTTGTGTGTGTGCGTTATTAATTCTGAAATATATACAAGCATACATAAAAGGAAATCTATAATGCACATGCAGGAAATGCTAATTCACACGACCATTAATCTCTCTTAAAAAAACAACAACCAGTACTTCTATGCTTTCATTCGCTGACATGTAACTCACTTCTCCTCCTGTCCTTCTCTTTTCTTTCAAGGGGCTGCCCTACCTCTTTCCCTTTTCTCTTTTCTTTTTTTGCCTTCAGCTTGTCTCTATCCAAGAGAGTTATTAATTACTCTTACAAGGCGGGCGATTCTTAACTAATAACAAAGTTGTAAATTGCCACCTTCTCGCCAATATTTCTCATTTGTCAGTCTTGATTGATTTGATTAATATTCCACGAGCGGTGGTAGGGGTCGCTTGGAAGCCGGGCTTACGTAATTCGGCAGACTCAGGACCGCTATGAAGAAATCGTCCTCAGTGGACGATGGGGTCCCTATCCACCAACATGCAAGTGTGGATTACATTGGCAAGGGAGGAGGAAGCATATTTGGGGTGGGAGGAGGGAAGTGACGCTATAACCAGATGGACGTGGAAGAACATCAGATGCTGTGTTGGGGTAGGGGTGTTGAACAAAAATTAAAATGACCCCTGTTCGCCTGTTGATATGAAAGCTGACCAAGGAAGACGCAAGAATGACACAACCCAAGGAGAAAACAAGGGCTACCCAGGTTTGTGATGCAATATTTATAATCAACCCATTGTGGATTCCAGCCCAAGGAAGGGCAGGAAGATGAGAAAAGGCTGCCCCATGCATAATTTTACTTCTCATTTTTCTCTCTCTTTCCCCCCACCCCCGATTCACAATCTCAACACATCCTAAAAAGTATTTGCTTTTAAACCCATCGAAGCCCCTTGAAAGCCCGGTGGGTGTAAATCGCTTGGAGACGCAGGGCCGTTGGGTTCGGCTGGCTTTTGGGCCTGGAAACCAAATTCTGGCTGAAAGTGAGGGTGTGTCAGCTTGGATAATTAAAGAGGGAGTGCCCCCCTTCTCCACACAAACTCGACCCTCCCTGCCTGGACGCTCTAACGGCGACACCCTCAAAGCGCTCAATCAAACAGGGTGCCCATTTCTTGGCGTATAGATGTCCGGAGACACGCCTCTCCGCGTCTGGGGGTCACCTCGGCCAAGTGGATCTCTCTAATGCACCCAGGCGCATCTGAGCTGCCGATATGCGCGCTGAGGGGTGCCTGGCATTTCAGCTAGCACCCAAGGACTCCGCCTGGGTCTCTATCTCCACGCGCAGTCTCGCCTTGGGGAAGGCGCGCCACCGCCGCTCCATCAGGATCTCTCCCCGCAAATGCTCTCCCTTGCAATCCATTAATATCTGTTTCCTTCCAAGGCCACTTGAGTTATCCCATCTTAATTATATTAAGTGGAGCAGCAGGACTTGCTAGTACTGAACATGACGTATGAGAAGGGCCGCCTCTTCCATCTTCGATTGTTAATATCTCTCCCATGGCCTCTATCAATATTCGCAAGATAATATGCCTGAAAAAAGGGGGGAGGTGTATTTTATTTCCTCCAAGCGTCACTCTTAAATCTTTTGTACATATATTACAACTCCTTCCTTCTGCTCTATTAAATATTTTACAATTCCTTCCTTCCTCCTCTAGCTTCCCTTTTTAAACCTCTATTAAATATAGTTTTACTCTTTCTTTCTTTCTTTCTTTCTTCCTTCCTTCCTTCCTTTCTTTCTTCTCTATTAAATATGGTTTCTCGACTCCTTCCTTCCAAGAGGTAGCACAGGAACACAATTCACTCTCCTGTGACAATATTTGCACCCAACTGTATATATCTATCTACATATATGCGTGTGCGTAATGCTACTCTCAATTATGACCTGAGACTATTTTTAACTTTGAAATGACAGACTCTTTAGAGAGAAGGGCTAGATTTGAAGAAGTAAGTAAGAAAGAAAATATCATGTGTTTATACACACACACACAACTGTATGTATAAAACATTACACACATACCAGCCGGCCAGGGATAGGTACTTTGAAGTCCCATAGTTTTCAAAAAGACAGTTAAACAGGTGTTTTGGTTGTTGTTTCTAAAGTAACCCCTCATTGAAATCCACGAGGTTTTAAAGTGCTTTACTTGACGGAATTATGCTTTATCGTCATACATAAGAAAGGCGATCCCTACGAGGGATCAAAAAAGCAAACAAAAAACAACCACCACCCACTCATCGCATTTTCTTACCGCCTTCCTTTCTCTCGCGAGAGCATATCATGCCAAAAAAAGAACAGTCTCGGGTCATATATATATGGGATATATATATATATATATATAAAATCACTCACACATACAGTGGCGTGCAAAAGTTGGCAAAGGATAATACCTCTCGAAAGGGAGGAAGAAGGGAAGGATTAAGAAACTATATTTAATATAGGGGAAGGAAGGAAGGCGACAGAATTGACTATACTGCCATTGCTCCACTTCCTAAACAAAAAGTGTCAAAGGTGTATCTGAATAGTGGACAAAGTGAGGAAGAAGTCGAGGGGTTCTAATAAAGCGTCGCCAATTCCATTTTTTGTGCATGTTTACTTGGAAGTAAATCCCATTGTTTTCAATGGAGTTTGCTGCCATGTACAGTGGGACTGTGCAGGGAAACTAAACTTAAGTAGTGGAACGGGATGTGTAGGATGCGAGGGGTGGAATCCTGACACGTTGCCTTTATGCAACATTTCTCATTCTTACGCTACTGTAGGAGATCAGTAAAATGTTCAGTATGTGTGTGTGAGAGAGAGAATGAATGGGCCCTTGTGGTCCATTTTCTCTCTTTCCCTGACTCTATAGCTCTTGCAAAAGGGGGAGTGGGGACCAAATTAACCTAGATTAAGGCCACCAGACTGCCAACTCTTTATTCCTTAATCTTGATTCTCCCACCCACCCACCCACCCAGCCCAGCCCAAGACATACAACCCTCCCTCCCCCCCGGATGCACTTAGCTGACAACACCTGTTTCTTCTTTCCCTAGAAACCCAGAGCGGACCTCGTCAATTTCGCGTCTGAAATTGATGACGTCAAGACGGAGCGGTCTAGGCCGGGGAACCGGCTGTGTGTGTGGGCGGGGGAATCAGCTGCTGCGAGCGCTTTCTTCTGCGCGTTCAAGGCTCTGAGCAGGCGCTGTCTAACGAGGAAGGGAGAAGTCAGGCGAGGAGCTCCGCATTTCGCCCCTTCCCCTCTCCTCCCACGAGACTTCGCTTTCCAGCTCTGACACTCCCGCGCGCAATTTTTCCTCGCGCAATTTTGGGTGTTGTTTTACGCCGCTAAACATGCCTGAAGTTTAGCCACAGAAGCAGAAGCAGCAGCAGCAAAACGCCTCAGCTGAATGACAAAGGCTAGGAGGGCGAATCATCCACCTCCCTTCTTCCCCATTGATGTCCAACAGGGCGCCTCCTTTGCTCTGTATCTTGCAGCAAGCAAAGCCAATTGATACTCCTGGGATTTACAAAGGGAACATTTCTTTCTCGAGATCTTGTACAAGAACTCTCTCATTCTCTCTCATACACACATCTAATATCCACCCCCCACCCCGCTTCCCCTCTCCTTACTGTGCTTCGCACACATGGTACTCAAAGCAGACATTCCCAGGCAGGATGAAAGAAGCTCTCCAGCACAACCACGGTTACAAGCCCCACACCACCCCTGTTTCATTCCTCCCCCTCCCCGCCAACCCTCAGTTATAGGAGGATGGCAGTTGCAAAGATTCGCGAGCTATCACAATCCTGCCACAAGATGCTGATGGTCATATTTGGCGGACGGGAGTCCAGGGGGCAAGGACTCGCCCATTATCTGTGGGATGGTGCGGGCATATTTATCTTTACATTTAAAATTTAAATGTATTCAAAATCACCACCACCACCATCACCATCAAGTCAGGGCCACTGAATCCAATAGTCTTTGTCATCCATTCATCTATTACTCTAGTTTCAATTTCGAAAACTAAGCTAAGGCTCCGGTCCTAGGAATTTAGCCTGGGAGCAAATCCCATTGAACTCAATGGGCCCGATTTGAAAGTAAGTATGCGTCTATTTGCGCTGTAAAATTATTGAGGGGAAGTAAACGAGTAGGGTGAAAGAGTCCTGTACATGGGTGTATATGTGGGGGGCGGAGTTGTGGGGTGGCCACGCCCATTTTTCTTGGCCTCGCCCACAGTTGCCCCAGAGAATTTTTGGCGGAGAGACTGAACCCGGCTGGGCCCAAGGTATCCTATCCTTTTACAGTAATGGGGACTTGTTAAGTTATGGATCAGACTGGACTGAGGGCAGAAGAGTTCGTCTTTATTTAATCGGTTTAATGACTCGCTACCATAAGGTATGTGCTGATGGCCCTTATACCGTGATAGAGTTGACCCCGGATTAAGCCCATCTTCCCTATGTGCTTTGAACTATATCTCCCATCAGCCCTAGTAGTAGCTGAGGCTGATGGAAGTTGTAGTCCAAAAGCATATGGAGGGCAGACAGCCAGGGAAGGCTAGAGAAAATCAAGACAGCGTATGGTGGATACGTCTAAAGCAATCTTCCATGTTTAGGAATAGTATACCTCTGAATCCATGAACAACAGAAGGCCAGTACTTTCAAAGCGGTCTAGTTTTATCAACCAGGACGTTTTGTTCTTACGATAATCAAAGGCAGGGGGAGATTGGATTAATCGGAGTGAAGGACAGGTCCAAGCTATCTCAATAACAATAACAATTGAAATTTCAGCTGAAGCGCTCTTTCTCTCTCCTATCTTATGGAACTTCAAAGAGAAGGATGATTTGGATGCCAGTGGACGCCTCTTCTATTCAGTCCTCTTCCTCTTTGATAGACTTACCTCGAGAGGAACCCTAGCATCCCAACCATATACCTATGGATGCTGGAATGAGAGAGGCAGGCTGCGCAGAAGCTATGAAACAGTCCAAACTACATATTCTAAATCTAATTCTTGAAATCGGAGTGATGCCAGTTTCTCAGTGCTGCGAGCTCCCCGTTTTAAGGCACTGCGGTTCATTTATAGTAATTCGCAACTAGGTGAATGAATAACTCTGTTTGGACCAAGAACTTGGCCTTGTGCGCACTTCCTTTAAACCGCCTGTTTTATTCTCAAGTGATAGACCACGGATGAAGTACTCCTGAAGTGATGTATGAGGAGTGAAGAAGAGACTGGGGCTACTTTGAGGATTGTTGGGGAAAGTCTTTGAGACAAACAAGCTGGGAAATAGAGCTGGACATCGCAAGTTGAGGGAGGAGTTAATCACACACCCACTTTGCTTCAAAGAAGCACCAACCACCTTGCTGTTAACAACTCAACACGTTTCAGGGAGTCCTGGAGTCGTAGCTATTGCTCTTGCCTTATTGCCACTAGGACTTGCTCCTAGGCGTCAGTCAGTCGATCAATTTCCTCTCTTCCCCACCGATTATCCCCCCGGTTTTTCCAGATTCCAGAAGCAAAAGGAACAGAGAACCTCGTAGCTCTCTAAAGCCTAACCCATTTGGCTTTTCGTGGACTCTCAGTCTACTTCCTTGGCAGCCATGAGACTCTTTCTTCTCCTGCAGCTCTGCTCGTAGATTTCTCCTTTCCAGTTTCCAGGATAGAACTTTATCCTTTACCGCGCGGGTTGCCCGGGGTGGGGGGAGACTACTATGTGGTGTGAACTAGGAAGGCCCTGACTCTGGGGCGCGTGTTCCTCTGCGAAAACCTGGAGGAAACCTCCTCGCTCCCTCCAGCGACATATATCTTGCAAAAGGGAGAGAGAAAAATCGCACGACACAACCACGCGTCTGCTATGCAACCCGGAGTCCCCCCTCACATCAGAAACCTCTCCTCTCCTCGGCCTTGAGAAGGAGGGTGCCTTCTCTCCCTACCCACCCCTGACCCATAAATGCAAACCTCCCCTTTCATTGCAGTTCCCGTTGACCTGCCATGGGGAATGGGTCAGCTCCCCCTCCCCTTGCATAGCCCCCACCCGGAAAAAAAGTTTGCAGTGTTTCTCCCCCACCCAGTTTAAACAGCCCTCACCTCCACCCTCAGCGACCCTGAGCACCACAGCCTCAGATCTCCAAGGAACAGGCCGTGAGCAGGCTTAAGGGAGAAAAGTATAGAAATCCTGGCGTGTGCATCAAGCTAATGATAGATTTCCCCTCCCCAGCCCTCCCTCCCCCTTCTGCGGTGTGCGGGATGGTTTGATATATTCCGGTGCCTGGGATTAATGGTTAAATTTCAGACTGCTTTTTTTTTTATGAAAGCAGTTTTCTCCCCCCCCCCCCCTTTCCCTCTCTCTCTAATCCAGGAATCATTAGCAACACCCTCTGGCTACATGTTTTCCACCGCTGAAACATTATGATCGGGTTGTAATACAAATTCCACAGCCTTACTTTGCATCTTTGTGGTAGGAGACGTAACGGCAATAATATTATTTTTTGGGGGGGAAATATATATTTTTCGGTTCTCCCCCGCCCCCCAACTTTCCCCTCTCTCGCCTACTCGCTCCTTTCTTTCTTTTTTATTTTTTAATTTTATTTTAAGGTCAAACACCCACAGACATTTCTCCCAAGGATTTGGGAGGTGCGCTTGTCTAAAACGATAACAACAAAAAGCTTCACACTATCCCCAAATTTCGTGACTGTCTGTCTTCTTGTCTATCTTTCTATCTCTATATAGCCCTTTTATATGTACGTGATCAAAGCGTGGCTCTTCAATTCCACCCCCCTCCCGCCTTTTGAATCCTTTGTTATTAAGGAAAGTGGACTCCGCGTATTATGTCCTCTCTAATATTCAAAATTGTAAGACAGAAGTCTTCCTCACTTATCACGGGGGTCCACCTGTCGCAGCTGTTTGGATCTATTGTTCTCAGGGTAGAATCTGTTTAGATTCATTTTTACTCTCACTCCCTCCCCTGCCTCCCCCTTTTATTTTCTTTACTCTAGAAAACACTCTACACGAATTAATGATGGGTGGGAAATATCAAGAAGCCAGGGAAACAACAATATTTTTTAAAACGCATCACAGATGCACAAATGTTTGTACCTTCTTCTGCTCCTCTGCTCAGCATCTTTGAGTTGCTTCACAGATTGTGGAAACGAGGCATGAGCCTGGAATCAGAAACCTCAGAAACATGCTCCGTTCGAAGCCGCCTCTGCGCCGAGAGACGTAACTTTTCCGTTCGGTTCGATAAGTGTGATATAAACAGATAGATGGACTCTAAGAATTTGCTTATAATAAATTGAACCCCAGCCTAGGTCTAAAATAAATGTGTCTCGAGGAAAACGTTTCCCCGCAAACGTCTGCGGTAACATATGAACGCCTTTGGGATGCTTACATATAATTCACGCCTTTCATAGGATCGCCTTATTCATCATCTCCCCCTGCGTGTTTCATTTTATGAATATTTATATTTGTTATTTTGAAAAATAAACAACAACCACAGCCAGAAGTGATGATCATAAATATATTTTCTCCCAAGTTTGTACTGGCCCTCAGACACTGTTTTAAAAATACTGTTATTTATCTCAAACAGATTGTTTTTAAAATATCTCAGTTTATTTGCTAAAGTGTATGTCTGATTCTTTAAAAGGGAGAGATTGCGATCGACAGGCAGATAGAGAATAATCACTGATTTAGAACTTGTCCTTGATTTGACTAGGCAAACGATTGGGTTTCTGCCTCTGTGTGTGTGAAAAACTGAAATGTCCGCCATTGTGGCCAAGAATTAAAATATGAACATAATCCCCTCGCCAATGGCGGTTGAGTCTCTGCCTTGGTTTGATTTTCCTCTGAGCATTTCCCCCCACACACACTTGGCGTTACTCGATAGCTTTCCTTTCCATTGACTCATAAGGGTGCGTTTGGGTTACCTCCAAACTTTAAAAAATAAATAAATGAATGAATACCGGGGTTTTAAATTATAGGCGAGGTGTGAAAATCTATCCGTTATTGTATAGCTTAAATTCAAACATTGCCGGTTAGGTTACAACTTGTAAGTCTTTGAGAAACCGTACACCCAAGGTTGGTTTTGCGTTTCTTCTCCCGCCCCCCAGCTTCTTCACACATACACCCACACATTCTGATACTACAGGAGATAGCCAGGAAAGATACAATGTCTCTTCAACTCCGAGCGAAAGGGGCACTTTCAAGTGTCCGATTCTATTAGGTCTCTTTGATTATGAGAGAGAGAGAGAGAGAGAGAGAGAGAGAGAGAGAGAGTTGCAAATAGCACCAGCATCAAGATCTTCTGGACTTGCAGTTTGCCTTTCAGCGGCAAGGTGGCGCTCCAAGGTGACAGGTTTGGGCGAGAGAGCCCCTTATTAGCATGGTTTCTGCCGCGGAGATTAGGAGAGGGTTACAATTCCATTGGGCAGCTCTGCAAAAAAGACAAGATAGAGCAAACAAACCTTCAAACCGTCTGATTTCTTAAGTAAGAAAGAGGCAAAAAGGGGGTGGGGGACTGGCAGGTAGAAATGAGACTTATTCAGGAAAAGTGCAAAGCATGTGTTTTCTCGATACATCTTAGATGCACACACACAAACCAGGCGCATTTTTAAAAATGGGGGGGGGGGGCTTACAAGAGATAAACGTAATTATAAATAAGTGAGTTCGAAAACACGACGAAAGTCATGTTACTGATTTTAACCTAGGCAGCGTCCAGAGCGAGTACAAGGAGAAAGACTGGAGAAGCAAGGCATTAACTCAGGAGACAAGATTCTCTCTTCGTAAGTTTTCGGGGTTCGGAGAGAGATTCAGTTCTCTTCGCTTTTGTGCTACGAGACAGAGGTGTTGATGCAGAGGGGGGATTTGTAGAAAACATGCCAATCGCTGCCATGCACCTGCTTCTCCCACTTTCCCTTCCTTTCCTCTCCTAAATTTATTTATTTTTCACTCTCTCTTTCTCCTGGAAACAGAGGCGAAAATGTCTGGGATTTGAAGATCAGACGAGCTCTTTTTTTAAAAAAAGGGTGTGTGTGATCAGGCCGTGTTACTGCTTTCTTTCAAATAAAACAAACAAAGCAGCCAATATCTGGACCTGCAACTTCCTCCAAACCCATATGATCGAGTTCTTAGATTCCTATGCTAAGGTCTTTAATTTCGCTCTCCGTCGACTTCGATTTTCTTTTAAAAACAGAGAGAGTGAAAGAAAGCGGTGAGGTTTAGGAACTGTTCCCAAACCGACTAGTTTTAACAACTTTTTTCCTTTTGTCCTTAGTCTCTCTCTCTCTCTCTCTCCCCCTAGAAATTTTTTTATGGTGGGGAGTAGAAGTGGAGAAGATGGGCTCTTTATCCCTCCCATCTTTCCTTCAAGGACTTTTCCTATTAAAAATCAAGACAAAAATGATTCCTAATTAACCTCCGGTTCGGTATCTCCTCTGTGGATAGGCGTGAGACGCGGCCTAATGGAGCCATCGGTTTCTATGATATTAAAATAGATTTGAAAGGCAGTTCAGAACTATCTTTGCCGTGTTTTGTATCCCCCTTCATTGTGGTCTTCTCAGTTGTGACACCCCACCCCGCAACTTGTGCATTTGGAGCACAAACGATAGATTGAGTTTGGATATGTTTGTTTTGTTTTAAATACATCTGAAATCAGAGAGCAAAGAAAGATGCTCCAAAGCGCGGCTGAGGCCTTGGAGGATGCGATGCGTCCAAAGGGAAACAGCCGCGATGTTCCTCTCTGGCCTTCCTTCACCATTCATTTCTCCGAGAATTTTATTTGCCCAGCGTGATGAAAAGTGACACTCGCCAAATAGACAGCTTCTGAAAGTAATGAAGTCAGATGTGGCTTTAACCCGACGGTTGGTACAAATAAATGTGAAAACGAGCGGGGAACATTATCTGCTCTCTTAACTAGCAGCTAAAATACAGAGAACGCGCCTGCCCCCCCCCGCATACCATTGTCCCGCCAGGAAAGGATCCGTAGATTTCATTTCAGCGTCTCCCACCCTAAGTAATGACAATGTCCATCGCAGATATTAAGACTCGCCTCTTTCAGTTTCCACAATTTCTAGGAAAGAAGTCGCAAAAGAGAAGTTGGTGTGAATTGCTTAAACAAAAGAAAGAAAAGCATTTCTTTATTCTTTCCATTCCCCTTCCCCTTCTTTCCTCGTGGAGAATTCCATTGACCCGTTTCTCCTTTAATAAAAAAACAAAAACAAAACGTCCACGCCCTTCTCACCAAATTGCTGTGAGAAATATTTCCCGATCTGGAAAGAAACCAGCAGCATTATTCCTTCCTCATCGCTCCCAAATGTATCATAACAATCTGGGTGCATTTTATTATTATGCCAATTGCTTGTTGTCTTACTTTGGGCAGGAGGTGGAGAAGCCCCCTTCTCCTCCTCCGAAATATTATATATATTATATACATATTATATAGTCCCTTCCTTCCCGCAGATGCAACCAGACAATCGTATTTACTGGGGAAACATTTTGCAAAGTACTTTCTTCCTGTTCGCTCCCAGACACTCGTTTACTGTCAGCTGCAAGTGTATTTCTGGGAGAAATCATATTGTGAAGGAAAACGGGAAAGTTTGTGGGTTTAAACTCTGAAGCTACCATCCCAAGGATACATAGACGCCTTCTCTAATTTAGAAGGCTGGTTAGGAAGCGCATTGGGTACAAGATTAACAACAACAACAACACAAAGAGGAAAGACCTTTAGGATACAGGCGCGCTCACAAGTGTTTGTAAACACTGGCCCACTCCCCCCTTAACGCTGTTCATATTTCAAACTTTTCCTCTGCTTAAAATAAAACGAATAGGAGAGATCAAAGTACGTTTGCATCTATAGAAAGGGAGGCGGGTTGGGTGACGGGAAACATATGTTTATTGAGAAATTGTCAATCGGTTGTGCAAAAAGGAGCATGATTTCAACATTAGTCCAAAAATACCCACACCCTAAATCGCAGGAGGTAAAATAGTATCTAGGATTCTTCCCCCCCCCCCCGCCTTTGGTTTTCTCTCTCTCTCCTTGTCTAGATTGCATGTTAATCAAGCGGTGTTTTCTTATCATGTGACGGTAACAAGTCGAAAGCTCTTGGCATTATAAGAAACGTGCTTTCCTCGTTCTCGATAAGATCAGATCTACATGACAAATATAACCTGGTTTGAAACCTGTTTAGCTGTCATGGAAGCCGTTTAGCTGTTCTTGAAAAAAAAAGCAAAAATTCACTCGGTTGGGGATTGTAGTTTGAACGGTACCCTTGCCCCGAGATTTCTTCCGCATGGAAGCCGTAAATCTTAAAAGAAGGAAGCGGGTTGAGGATACAAGGGTAGATATGTTGCCCCGTTTGTCACTAGGGGCTGGTCTAGGAAGAGTCGAGTTTTACTTGCTGTAAAGTATCTAGGACAAGGGGAGCAGCAACCATCACGCTGTTAAAAGTCCCCGAGACAACACTTAGGCCTTCTCCAAACAACTGCCCGGTTATTTTAAGCTCGAGAAAAATGAGGACATATTATTTTGGGAGGGGGAGGCGGACGAGTCCCTTGAGCACTTTATGGGATTCTTATAAGTTTTCCAGCATATGGGACAAGGGACGACTTCCTACTAGATCGTCCCCAGTGTCCTTAACAAAATATTCTTGAGGCACCGAGAAACGGGCAAAGGAGAAAACTGAACTGCTCATCCCGTTTTGGCTACCCGGTCCTGAGAAATTGCTTTCTGTATTCGCGTCCACCCAGCCCATTTCTACCCTTTCAGGAGTTATCATAGAAATATTTCCAAGGCTGTCAGTCGATTAGAGGCTTTTCAGTGGGCGAGTGGCCTACCTTTTAACCGAATAATCGATGGCTACCTAAGTTGTCATGAGATCATTTGCCCTGTTATGAAAGTAAAGGAAGGTGCCTTTGGGGAGATGCTGAACCAAAATCACTTGCAATGGAAGCTACGGCTCTTTGTAGACCGCCAGACCCTCTGGACTATTTTCTATATTTTATGACCGTAACAATCAAAGGGCTGGGAATATTACAAGCATTACGGGTGGCCGATTAATCAAGGGCATACGTTGCTGATTAATCTGCCGTTCCAAGCTTGCACAAGTACATGAAATTTAAGGTTGTAGGTTCTTCTACGACCCTACCACTTCCCACTTGGGAAGAGTCTAACCATTGATCTCCCCTCTAATTTGCCACCAGACTTTGAGTGAATGGGAACAGAAATATTTTGGCTTGATTTGGCTCTGGATGGAGAGCTATGGGACTTATGCAGGGAGGCGATGGGGCGGAGAGAAACTCAACTATTGTTGGAACCCCTGAGCACTGTACTGTACTCTAGTTCATCATCGACAAGGGTGGAGGATCTTGAATTTAGGTATGCTAAGATGTCTTTTAAGGTGAGTGTGTTTGCGTAGAAGCAAAAGGAAGCACAGAACGTGAGAACTGAAGGGCAGTAGGTTCAGGGCAGTAGAAACATGCTCTTCATCCCGTGCTAGAGTCTGGAATTAATGTTGGAGTCTGGAATTAAGAGCCTTACAAGCTCCTCACCTGCTCCGATTCATTTGCAGTCCCTCATTCTGCCTAGTGAGGCCCTCGACTTACAGAATTGAGGACCACAAGATGGGGGAGGGCAGGTCAACGTCTATTGACTGGAGCGACGATAGGGCCACGGACATCTGAGGACCTGTTGTTGGGAACACTGAGCAACCCTCAGTTTTGATACCCTGCTTCTGATGTCCCGGCTAAGGCCTGGATTAGATGGACAGCTGAGTCTTATTTTGCAAACCATATGCGGAAAGCCAAAGCTTGATGAAAGAGCACGTGCAGAAGGCCGTAGGTTCAATCCCTGGTATTTCCAGGTGGGTCTGGCTAGACCTCTGTTTGAAACCGTGGACAGATGCTGCCAACCAGTGTTGGCAATATTGGACTGATGGTTAGTATTGGTATAAGGCAACTGCCTGTATTCCCATGACCGTTCATAGGTTATAAGGGGCGCAATCTAGTCGGAGTCTGCACCACCTCACCCAGCATGGCGTTGGATTTATTCCGAATTCTTATTTATATGGGGAATATACACGCAGGGGTTGCAAAACTTTTCAGAAGTAGGAGATTGATTTTCTATTCTTACTTTCTTTCCTTCCCATCCCCCAACAACCCCCCCCCCAATTCGCCGAGTTGTTTGAAAAAAAGCTGTCAAACCCCATTAGAACATCGTCCTTTGAGTGGCAGACCCCAAATGCTTTGAAAAGCTTAAAGGGTTAGGGAGAGAGAGAAGGGGGGAGGGGTGCATCGTCTATTTAAAACGAAAAGTGATATCCTCCCCCTTTAAAGATGCTGTGGATAATCTAGAACAGGTTGTGTCTGTGATCCAGGGATGAAGGGCCGAAGAAGCCGCGCGTTTTCATCTCCAAAGCGAGGCAACTCCACTATCCTGGAAGTCTGATTTTTTTAAAAAAATGTGTTATTGTCTACAACGACTAAATCATCGCATACATACGTTCGCAAGTAAAGTGACATTTAGGTTTACGAGACACACACAGAGAACACAATTGACCAGGGAACTAACTGTATCGTAAGCAATCAAAATTCGCTTAATGAACCTCATTAATTGTTGACCATTAGATATTTCCAGAAAACGGAGGAAGGAACTGAAACACTTAAAGGATCGCTGATCCCTCTTGCAGCATCACAACGTAAAATGAAATATTTAGTTATTTACCATCCAAAAAACAAACACTCCCAACTTCACCCCAAGCAACCAGCTAAGTTATTGTCCCACTGGATCAAAAGAGATTCACTCTGGCATTGAAATCATTGGAAGCTAAAAAAATTGCTGAACTCTAGGTTGGATGGTGAGCAACAACAAAGAGGAAGCATATTTAAGCTTCGGTTCAACAAGCGAGAGCTAAGTGCAGTGTTGTACCCACTTTCCTAGGAGCTAACCCTACTGAACTCAACTGGGAATTACTTCTGAGTAGACACAGAGTCGCACCACCCAAGGCTTCTCTGAAATCTCTGGGACCTTTAAAGGGAATTAACTGGATCCAAAACAACGGATCCCATTGCAACCACCACTACAACAACCATTACAATTTAGCCAGCATTAAGCACCCTTAAAGGCTGTTGGTTTCTTGAATTCGAAATCTTTCTCATTGGAATCCGTAAGTCCTTTGAAGGGCTGTGCCTGTTTACTCATAAGTATACCTCGCTGGACCAATGGGGCCCACTCCCAGGAAAGTGTGCACAGGACAGGATTGAAGTCTGACTTGGTCCTGACCATGATGATGAGCACCTGCCAAAATATCCCACCGGATTGGTGTAACGTGACTTGGATGTATATATCTGCACCATGTTGTGTTAGCTTTAACAGAGAAGGAGGTATGACACCCAGGTGAACTTTTCCTCATGGCCTCAGGGTGCTGCCTACCCCTTGGCGTGAGAGGCCTCGGCAAACCCTGAGTCCTGGGAAGAGACCTGGAGTGGGACTGTTAAGAAGACCGACTAGCCAACCCCATAGAGCGCATTTGCGTACATAAACAACTCTGTTTTTCTATGTTGGGTGGTGGTGGGGAAAGCGTTTCTCTTCATCTGGAGCTGCTGATTATGCAGTCGTCACTGGGAAAAGGAAGTCGTCAAACTCGCCAACCATTAGCTCTGTAGAGGTGACTTGAAGAACACTCACTCCTTTCCAAATGAGACAGACAGAGATGTTGTGGTGGTTGGTTGAAAAGTAAGTTCTTTCTTTTCTTTCTTCCCCAAGAGTGGAAATATTTGAAGTTTTGAGATCTGAAAGATGGCATGCATTGCCAATATGCCACCCACCCCTTGATAGAACTTCCGGGCCATGGTGCCCAGAAGGCAGAAGTGTGGTCTGTTGAACTTGGGGGGGGGGTTGGGCATAGACATAATGACGTGTTAGGAAAAGCTTCATCTGCGGAGCCCGAAAACACGAACAGGGCTCTCAACAAATAAACGAATCAGGTCCCTCGACGAACTAGCTGAGCTAGGCATACAGGATTTGAAACGCTGCCCCTGCTACTGGCGAGGGTAGGAGTATTTTAAGTAGAAACATGCTCAGTTCTTAACGTGGACTCTCACCCAGCTAAAGTTAGCCTCCAGTAAGTAAGTCTTGATAGATTCAGTAGGACTTACTCAGAGTGAAGACGCCTGGCATGGGACACGGTAGCAGATGCATTGTTAATTAGAAGTTTCCCCCATTGAATTTCAGAGTAAGTTTACAGGGCACTTCAGATGATAATAAGTATGTAGTAGTAACCAATACAATAATAATAGGTAATAGCTAATAAGATAATAAGTAGTAGCTAAATAATATTGCCTGAGGTTTCTTTTATCCTTCTCCCTCCCAATCCCCATTCCTTTTGTGACATGATTTTTATAATGTTAGAGGGGAAAATACTTTTTATTTGTCGTTAAGGAGTCCAATAAAAGTGAATTAAGTAGACTTTATTTTATAATATATACACACTGCTTGATTGTTAAAAAGTAATCTCAAGACGGTTTACATACAGAATTACTACTACTACGATACTACTACTACATACAGAAGTATTATTATGCTACTACTACTACAACTACGGTAGTAGTAATGTATAGAGTAATGCTTCAGATGTCACTTCATAGAATGAGGCAAAAACAGAGAGGTCCCAGCCCCGCACAGCTTGCAAAGTAGCAAAGAAGGAACACCTAACTCTAGGCCTAGCGGCAGAGTCCTCCCTCCTAGTTCTCCGGCTAATTTATTGCTCAAGCCCAACTCGTCGAGTAGCTTCTACAGGCATCCCACGGGAAGCCCCCTTTAGCAAGGATTTTTCGCCCCCCTCTTCCCTCCAGCCAGACACCCCTCGCCTCTCTACAGCTTTTCTCTCGCTTGGAGCCACAGAGATTTTCTCCAACTCCGCAGCAGATGCCTCCACAGAGACTTTTTAGGAGATAATTAGATTATAAAGAACATTAAAGTTGTTTTATTGATTCCCAAGGAATTCTCCGAGAGGGTGGGAACGGAAAGCGGCGGGGGAGTCGGCTTTCATCTAGGTAATTTCTTCGGATCTCGCGATGAAAGGAGGAAGCGCCGAGAGTCCGCTCGACCGCCCAGTCTCCCGCAGCCAGAAATAAATGCGCGCGCGCGCACCCGGTTCCTTTCTCGTGTGATGGCAGAAACACGTCTTTTCTCCCAAAGGTACCCTTTCTTGAGGTTAACAGTGGGAAGGATGAAATGTTTTTTTCCTTCCTTAACATGATATTATTCCCTACATTTTTTCTGCAAGTCGGGTGGGAGGTGGCGAAGAATCAACACGCCCCACCCCAGAATACGCATCTATATCTATTTGTCCTCTTATCCCAGTCCCAAACTCTGAGACTGTTATAGTTTCTACCTACCCATCTCGCTTTGGCTGCATATCAAACTCAGATGGTCTCCAAACTTAAGTTCTGGGAACTTCCAAGACTTGGTATACAATATAGACCACTCCCCCCTTTGGTTCTCAATGGACCACAGGATCAGGATCTGTTTCGATGAGGTCAGCTGTTACTTAGAAGTGATCCCGGCTCTCCTTTTGCCAATGACGCCAGGACAAAGCTGTCGTTTGGATTCACACAATCAGTTGGGGCCCTGGTTGTTATAAGTGGGAAGAAAAATCTTGCCTTCCCTGTAGTGGTGCAGACAGAGAGGGGCTTCGAGGGCAGAAGTCCGGGGCTTCTTGTTCAGCAGGAGGAGCAGGAGGACCTCTAAAGGCAGCCGGACTGATTTAGTTGTGGGATATCTAAAATAAGGCAGTCAAAACCAACTACTTCTGATTGCTAGAAAGGCACTCACACAGAGGAAGTTGGAACTCACAGGGTCTACAGGAAATCCTCCTTGTGAGAGCCACTCCCACTGTGTCCAGCCAGGTAAAGGTGCGCAACCCTATATAAGATGGTCAGGTCTGGCCTGCTCTCTTGCTGATCCCTTCTATCTGATGTCATCTCTTCCATGTTTCATCAATAACTAGGGATATAGGACATATGTAGAGTAACGGCTCAGACTCCAATTCTAATCTAAACTGTAATATATGTCTGTAACTACATTTTAAGCCTGCCTCAAGACTGCTACTATGAAACTGAGTGAGTAAATCTATCTTTACTTACAAGAAGACTGTTTTGCGTGTTTATTGTCTGAAGGGGAGAAAACAGGGAAAATACCAGGAAATCCAGCCTGCCATAAAGCATCCTGGATTACTTAAATTAAATGGCTAAAGCTAGCTTATCAACAGCTTCCTCATTTTTGCTGACAAAGGGATGTACTCTGCTGAACTCACAAACATAAAGTAGGTTTATATCTAAGAAACATAGCCCCTCCTAGTTTCAATACACATCCCTACATTAGTGCATTGTGAAGTAATTCACGTTATCATCTAATGAGGGTGGGTGATAAGGCCAGCAGGTTTAGTATTACAGTCGTACCTCCGCTTACGTATCCCTCTGGATATGTAAACTTTGGGAAGTGAACAAGGCAAACCTGGAAGTATTTTTCTGGGTTTCACCACGCGTGCATGCGCAGAAGCACTAAACCACACTGTGCACATGCGCAGAAGCAGTCCTCCGGTTGCGAATTCCTTGGGATGCAGCCAGACCTATGGAATGGATCCTGTTCACAACTGGAGGTACCACTGTACTCTATTGCATCATTTCGCTCCCCACACCCCTCTGTTAAGAAAAACCTGGTCCCCAGATGTTGTTGAACTCCACCTTCCACCATCCCTGTCCCTGACCATTGCCTAAGCTGCCTGGGACTGATGAGAACTATAGTTCAGCCACATCTGAGGACTCAAGAACTCTGGTCTATATCTGGAGTAACCAGCATTGTGTCCTCCAGATGTGGTGTCCTCCAGCCAGCTTGTCAGGGGTGATGGGTAGAGGAGTCCAACAACATCTGGAGAGTACCCCCCTAGCTATACCTGGTCTACACTGGCTGGCAGCTTCTTTCTCAGCCTGACTTGGAGATGCTGGGGATTGAACATAGGACCTTCTGCACTCAAGGCCGATGTTCTGCCACTGAGCTAGAAAGCCTATTTCCTAGCTATTCCTAGAACAATTAAAGTGCCACCTGGTGGTGGTGCAAACACCTTTCACCTGTTACCCCCTGCTTTCCACGCAAACCTTCTAGCTGGTCTTTATTCCCCTTCAAAACGTGTCAGCTAGATGGACCCATGATCTGATTCAGGGCAAGGCAGCTTCCAGTGTGCACATCTTACACTGACTGCTACTTCTTCCACCCTGTTAACTTCTTAGTAGATTAACTTCTTTGCATTGTTATCGTGTGGATTTATTTTTTGTATTTATTGACATTCTTATTTCTGGTTGTTCTTAATATTGTTCATTTGCTGCTTTGTGAGCCACTTTGAGCACCACTGTGGAAAAGTGGCATACAAATAAACTGATGGTGGTGATGATTCTGTAGCTGCATCAATGGGCCAATTGAATGTAGACCATCTTCAGAAGAACAGGGAGGCTTATAGCTGGCACCCTCAGTCTCTAACCTATATTGGGGTTTTTTAAAAAATGAAAAAAGGAAGAATTATCTTTCCTTCCCCTCCTTTGAATTACAGTTTTGAGAGCCGGTGTGGTGTGATGGTTAGAGTGTTGGACTATGACTTGGGAGACTAAGGTTCAAATCCCCACTCAGTCAGTGAAGCTCACTTGATGACCTTGGGCTAGACACCATCCTTCAGCCTAGCCCACCTCATTGGGTTGTTGTAAGGGTGAACCATGGGAGCTCCTTTGGAGAAAAGGTGGTACAGTGGTACCTCCAATTACAAACTTAATTCGTTCCGGAGGTCAGTTCTTAAGCCAAAACCGTTCTTAACATGAGGCGTGCTTTTGCTAATGGGGCCTCCCGCTGCTGCCACGCCACCAGCGCGCGACTTCCACTCACATTCTGGGACAAAGTTCGCAACAAGGGGCATCTACTTCCGGGTTAGTGGAGCTCGTTACCCAAAGCATTCATAAGGAGGACGGTACGTAACCCGAGGTTCCACTGTATATAAATGTAATAAACCCAGGCACATGTACTTGAAGAGCTCAGTTGGTTAGAGCATGGTGCCGGTAACACCAAAGTTGCAGATTTGATCCCCATATGGCACACTTGCATATTCCTGCATTTGCAGGGGGTTGGACTAGATGATCCTCAGAATCCCTTCCAGCTCTGCAATTCTATGATTCTACAAAATAATCTAAGCCTACTATTGCTGCTACTGTAAGAAGCCTAATGCTCTCAGTGCTATTTTGTTGTATAGTTGGACCCCTGCGTCTGTTAAGGTTCCAACTTTGACGCAGACAGTTGGTTAGAGCGCGGTGCTCATTATGCCAAGGTTTGATCCCTGTATGGGACAGCTGCATATTCTTGCATTGCAGAGGGTTGGACTAGATGATCCTCAAGGTCCCTTCCAATGCTACAATTCTATGATTGTATTACTCCTTTTCTTGCCTTGGGGAAGTCATTTAATTTCTTGGCTTCAGTTCTTCCCTTGTGAAAAAGAAAGAAAAAGGAAGAGGCTGTGACTGTCCTCACAGGGCTGTTGTGAGGACAAAGGCAATGCACATCGCAAAGCATTTTCTCAACAATCTGGTTTGCAATCACACTCACAGTTAACTACCAGTAAGCCTGGCCCAGTGCAGTTGGACTTATTTCTGAGTAAACATGCCTGGAGTGAGGCTGCCAGGGTGCTAGGAGCTGCTGGATGAACAGGCCTCTACAGGTAGACTCTGTTTCCCCCCACTATGGGTGAGCCAAACCAACACTCTTGTCATTACCAAAGCCAAATTCAGGCAGCTCAGAATGAAATCTAAGGAGTTAAAGTGGCTAAGGGAATTTGTGACATACTTTCAAATGATGAGCAGGCCCATGAGAAGCCTGGGGGCTGAATGTTCACCTGAGCCTTCCACCCTGCTTCTCTTCTCAAGGGGAGTGAGTTCCCACCTTGTATAGGAGAATCTAGGGCAGGCACCCCCCAAACTCAGCCCTCCAGCTGTTTTTTGACTACAATTCCCATCATCCCTGACCGCTGCTCCTATTAGCTAGGGATGATGGGAGTTGTAGTCCCAAAGCAGCTGTAAGGCCAAGTTTGGGATTGCCTGATCTAGGGAAATCCCCCTTCCCACTTATTTAAAAAGAGCCCCAGGATGATCCAAGGAACTGGAGGGGTGGTGGAGGGGAAAAAACCAAGCCAACCTCTCACCTTCAATTCAAGACGGAGGAATAACAGCAGCACGGGGTGGCAGGTCTCTGTCTCTAGGATAATGCAATCTACACAGCGGCGGAGGTAAAAGAGAGAGTGAGAGAGAGAGCAAAGAGGAACGAGGGCGGGGAGCAACACGGAAGCAAATGCAGCCAGAAGACAGAGAGTGCAGCTTCATTTCAGTAGGGGGCAAGCCGAGGATTAATGGGGGGTGTCGTTAAATTAATTTCTAAATTCTAACCTTCTCACCTCGGGTGGTGCTGGGCTGTTGAAGCGCCGGCCCTTGTGGCGGGCGACTGCAGTTATTAACTTCCTTCAAAGAGATCCCCCCCACCCTCACCTACTCGGTAAAAGAAATAAAGTGTGCGTCCCCGAGCGCGCGTGCGCGTGTGTAAGGAAGGCGGCAACTGTAGGAGGCTGGGCTGCATGCATTGACTAAGGCTTAGTGTGACAACTGTCGAAAGTTTGACATCAAAGGTAACTCATATGATTCAGTTACCAGAGGACCTGTCGGACCTTAGAGGGAATATCTTAATTACTGAGTGGCAATGCTAGAGTGGGAAAGGGGGGGTGGGCAGAGCTGGGGGAAAGTGGGGAGCGTGAGTGCGGCTGGCTGGAAGAGTTGTGTGTGTGTATTGATGGGGGGCTCACAAAAGGGAGGGGTTGTGCTTTCAGCCTTTTTTCTTTTTGACGAGGGATCCACATCAGGCCTCTATGAGCGTCTTAATCATGTTTTAGCGATGGCAGCTTTTCACTCTGCCGCAGAGCGCCCTCTCCACACCACACCAGTCCTCTGAACTTTATAACTATATGTAAACACGGTGTCAGCTGGCCAGTAATCTCTTCTGGGGTTTCTTATTAGAAAAAAATTTCATTCTCCTTGAGTTCTAGATTAAGCAGAATAGTTTTCTCTATTGCTGAATGGACTGAGGTTTCTTGGAATATAATGTGTCAATTGTTGATGGTTTGTGACCCATAAAATGTGAGGGTGACTATGCTGGCTTTGGTATGTAATTATGCAAAACACTCTCTATAAAGCCTTGCCATCCGATCTAATGACAATCCCTGAGGTCTATTCCCTTAAAAAAAAAAAAAAAAAGGAGGGAGTGGGGGAAGTCTTATTATATATAGGCTTCAAGGAGAAAGGAAAGGGGGAGGGCGCGGGGTCGGAGAGGGAAGAGTAACATTTTGTTTTTATACACATTTTTATGGAAGTAAAAAAAGAGAAAACCCTGCAAATCAGATGCAGAGGGTAAAGAAATCTAGAGAAAATGATTAAACTTATGCCGGGCTGTGTTTCATAAGTTAATCGAAGGGAAAATACATGGGGGTGGGAGAAAGACAGAAAGACAGAGAAAGAATATTAGATTAACTGTACAAGAGAAGGGGGGGGGGGGGAGAGAATCACCAGAAAGTTACAGTTTTCTCCCCATCAAGACACTTCTGCAAAAATAAAATAAAAAAAGTTTAAAAATGGCGCAGTCGCTATTGAAATGGATCCAAAAGAGAAAGATTTGAAGTGGGTGGGCGTACGAAAAAGTTAGAATATCACAGGCATGTTTGTAATGTATTGACAAACACGTGACCACCACGTCTTTCTTTGATGTAGGTCTGTTTCATTAGGCAACACATCTTATTCATCGTGGCCATTCAGTTCCTACAGTTTTAATTGAGAGTTTAGCTCTGGACTCTCAATAAATGTGACAGCTGTCGAGAGATGATACCCAGTATTTTAAAAACCCATCTATCTGGGGGCGACCGAAATCGGGGGAAAGGCGGGGGGGGGGTGGCGTGTAGAAGACCTATCTGACTGAAAAATCTTAGCGGATCACGAAACAGGTAGAGGAATCAGTTTGCTCGCTGAACTCGGAAGAAAGCTTTGGGTGGTGGTCGGGGGGGGGTAGTAAGAAAAAGAGAGGGTTGAACTTTTTAGAGGGAGGGGATTATGACCAACGGGGATCTGTTGCGTCAGGAAATCGAATGTAAACATTGCAGCCTATAGACACACAGCAGACAGACTCCCCCCTCCCCCCCCCAAGTCAGTCCAAAGCAAACAGCTTTAATGAGAAATGAAAAATAGCAGCCCTCGTCGGTTGCAAGGAGAGAAGCTACTTAGGTTGATTAGAACTTTTCACGTGCTAGCAACAGAGGACTCTGCAAATAGCATGTGATCTCCGCGGAGGGACATTGCCAGAGATAGGCACGACCAAGTCCAATGTGTTTGTGACACCCACACGTCCCTGGTGCAATAGAAAAAAACAGAATACGACCCCCCACCCTCGCCGCGAGCCACAAACTTCTTGCAACACCCTGAGAAACAAGCAGGGTAAATGAGATTATGAAAGGGAGAGTTGAGAAACAGAACCCCCCCTTTTGTTTTTTTGTTTTGCAAAGCACAGGTAATTATGAGATGAAATTAACTCTGGTGTGTTCCTTTGTGACGTCACGAAGAGCTATCTGATCCATGCCTATTAAAGAACTCTGTGCCCTACTAAGGGTTATGATGATATGGTGGGGGCCCATCTGAACAGTATTTTCTCCCACCCCACCTGAAACCCCGACGGAGAGAGATAGAAAGAAAAGGATCTCTGGTTGACAAAGGTCAGCGAACCCCGAACTGCTTGGAGCTCTCACTTTCGGTAAGGGAGGAAATCCCACACTTGAAGGCTGACGAGGCTTTTCCTTGGTGTCTATTTCAAACTCAGACCATCAGACGGATCACCCAGAGGGCTAGGCATTTTTGATGCAAGATGGCCACAGGCTTCAGGGCGGATTCTCTCCCCTACGCCCCCTCTCTCAGACAGACCGTCTGACATCTCTATGATCTCTGGG